TGGCAAAGTTCTCGGTCGATGTTCACTGTCGTGAACCCTATTCTTTGGCCGTGAAGGCAAGCAACGACAAGATCAGAAGGCATCACGTTCATGAAGGGCCAAATCATGATTTTGGAGTTCATAGTCGTGATTTGTGTTGGCTTCATAAAGTTCACGGGATTTGGCCAAAGTTTATTATTGTATGTTAGGGTTGTGCAACGGTCCAGCTCATACGGAATTAAACTCATGAGAAACGCGGTTCCAATAGTGAAAGACAATAGAACCAAGGACCAGACCAATAATGCATTTTGGTCTGTTCCAAATATCAATTCAGTATAATCTTATTTAGTATAAAATTCATGTACCAAGGACCGACTCACATTATATTTGGTTCGTTGTGGTTCGGTCCAAACATCAGTTTGGTCTGATGCGATCTGGGCTAAACCCCCTTATACGTTGTACCTGGTAAGTAGAACCCTGGCTCAAACATTTGATTGATTATGGATGGACTTGGTATGAATTACCCCTAATTACTTGTTATGAATTATGATTACTTGATGTTTGATTATGCCAATCTCGTGTCCTAATTCGAGTGATTGATTGCCTTTTAGGAGAAAGTTGAGAATGTATTTTCTCACAAGGAGATTTAAAGAAATATAACAAAAGAAAAAGGAAAAACTTAGCTAAGCACAAAGATGAAAACATGATCTTGCTTACACCAAGGAAATTGCAGACTCACCTCAGCAACCAGGCTCATTGAGGCCCTCACTACTTCCATGAGTAATCTCCACTTTCCCCCCCCCCCCCCCCCCCCCCCCCCCACCCCCCTCAATCAATAGTTATGCTAAGCAAAAAATCATCATTTCTTTCATGGGAAATTAGCATTCTTTGATTCCATCATTCCCTCCAAACAACCGCTTGGGAATCGAAGAGGCAAAAGGAAACTTGGGTAAGCCTAGCCAACTTGTAGCCAAGGTGATGAAATATCGAAAGAACCAAAACCAAGGAATGAGAGAGTAAATAATCACCTCTATCACAACCAAACAATCCAAGTTCATTTTATTCTCCATGGGACCTCACCAAACGCCAACCCACACCCAACCTCACGCAAGGATAGAACAATAAAACTCAGGCTATATGTATGGTAAATCGTCCGAGTTTTGTACAATACATATCCGTGCTGAGGGTTTAATTTTTTCAATGAGTTTGGATCTCGTTAGTAGACAACATACAAAATTTCCCATTAAGTTCAATAGTTATATCTCTTTCATTTTGATTTGGAATTCAAAAAAAATTCACACAAAAATCAGATTAAATGTGTTCTTCAAAATGACATCTACTTTGATATATTCTTGAACAAAAATCTTATGACATATATTACCAATCTATATCATGGTCATGGTTGTCATGCCGGTGGCATGCCACCCGGTTGAACCTGGTTCAACCTGTGCCGGTCATGAAACTGACATGACACCACCGGTATGACCGGTATGATCGACTTAACCATTCTAAGTAAAATGACATCATTTTAATGAATTTAATGAAGAAAAAATTAATTTATTATTCATTTTATGAATGTAATAGTTAAAAGTTGATGATATTTGTTGGATTGTAACTAAATTGTCCACAAATATGTTTTATATATGATTAGATACATTGGATATTAATTGTTTTCACATTTTTTTAAACCGGCATGAACCCGGCACAAACTGGTTATACCACCGGTCGTACCATTCCACTTGCCAAACCGGCACAACGGTATAAACCGGTTTGACAACCTTGATCATGGTAGTAATGGTTGATAGTACATAAGATTATATACCATGGTTGTAAGAAAGTGTACCATAGTGGTAGAATTTAAAATAGTGTAGAATGTTTGTATATATTATAGTAGGAATATACTAACCATTATCCAGAATCTTTCACCATCATTTACCACTCTCTAGTAACCATTCTATATCAAGGTGGTACATTTTGCAAATAAATTTTTTCCTTTAAATTCGTTGATCGCGATAAACTCATTCCTTCTATGAAAAATTTCTAATTTTGAGTTAAAAACGAAGGTGGTACTAGTGTGCTAACAAGTGATAATTGTTAATCCAAAAAAATTTTCCCGAAAGATATTAAAAAAAAGTATATTATTTTGTAGATTACAATTAACTCATTTCATTTTCATATGTTCAAATTCTTTTAGAAATTGAATTTAAACAAAAATTATATATTAATTAGAAAGGGTAAATACAATATAATAGTCAAACATTTTCGAAAATAATTTTATAACCAAACCGTTAACTTTCCGTCCGGTCAACCGTTAGTACCGTTAGCTGACTCTAACGTGGCAAAATTCTTAACGAGGTGGAAAATTTATGATGACATGGCAAGAAATTAAACTTTTAACATTCCACAAGAATATTAATAATTTACATAATAATCCACTTTTTTGGGGGAAAATATAATTAGAATCAAAGAACCCTATCCTCCAAGCCCAAGCCCAGCCCGAGTTCTAAGCTCTCAATCCTCCATCGCAATCCATGCTCCCTTGCACAATCCTTCAACCCTAGTTAGCATCAACAACCACAAAATTGAAAAATTATCAACTCCCATCTTCCCAGCACCAACAGATCAAGCCCCTCGAAAGAGAAAGTTTTTTTATATCCTTCTACTACCTGTTCCCCTATGTAATCTCAACTGGTTTTTGCTTCAATTGAACTTGATAACCTAGGAAGTCTTCCCAGCACCAACAGATCAAGCCCCTCGAAAGATAAAGTTTTTTTATATCCTTCTACCTTCCTAGGTTATCAAATTCAATTGAAGCAAAAACCAGTTGAGATTACATAGGGGAACAGGTAGTAGAAGATCGCCAATCGAGGATGGACAGGGCTTGTGGCAGTGAGTTGGCTTCTCGGCGAAGGAGAACCCAATAATCTTCTTCTTCGTTCAGACACTGAAACCTAGCAATTGCAAACCGAAGACCGGACATCCGAACTCCAGATCGTCAAGGAAATAGAGGAACCATAGTCTCTTCGTAGTTGTCCACTCCTCGTCGTCGAGTCTTGTCGTACTCCTCAATCGTGCGGCCACCCTAGAAATCGCCAATCGCCCAACCTATGAAAAACCCAGATTCCCAGGAAAAAACCCAAAATTGCCAATCGCCCAACCCAGGAAAAAACCCAGATTCCCTGAGATGTCTGACCAATCTACTGGACCGATTAAGAGATGGGATGGAGCGATGGGTGGCTGCAGGGTAATGGAGGTTGCGGAGTGATTGGGTGCGGGGTATTAGATGGGTGTCTAGAGTGAGTTTTCTGACTTCCCTTTTGCCGGCAATATTAGGTTTGGAGCTTTAATCAATTGGTGATGGGAAGATGGGAAGTTGTTCTTTCGTGGATGAGGATTGGGTGCGGGGATGATGGATGATGGAAGAAGATGAACAGTCCCAGCAAACAAATATATATCGGATCAATTTTTTTCATAATTTAATTTATATTTTCAAATATAAAAAATTGTTTTGTAGAATGGTGGAATATCTATGTGGCAAGGTTAAATAGTTGAGTTCATGTCACATCATAAAGAGCCTTCCATTTTATTTAATACTTTGCCACGTCAGAGTCAACAAACGGTTGATCAGACGGAAAGTTAACGGTTTGGCTATTAAATTGTTTTAGAAAATGTTTGGCTATTATATTGTTTAAAATGAAAGGTTTGGCTATTCTATTGTATTTACATAATTAGAAAACTAGAAAAAAAAAATTGGAATATCAACTCTTAAATATGAGCTCACTTCAACCATGGTTGTCATGTCGGTTGGCACAACTAGGTTCAACCAATATCGGTTACAAAATCAACTAGCATGATAGACATTCGAGTTTTAAATAGAATGACCTCGTTTTGGCGAGTTTGATAATAAAACAATATTTGTTTCTTGAATTTGAAAGTTAAATGTTGATGTTATTTGTTGTGTGAATTATTTAGTTGTTTATGTGTTTCGTTGGATTCAAGTATAACCTTTTGGATGTATGCCTTAAATGTTGTATTTAAATATGAGGGTTCTTCTTTTTGTTTGAAATGTTGTATTTTAGTTAAATATGGATGTAAATTTTAGAAAAATTCTATTCAAATATGTTATGTATATGCCAAAATTAATTTTGTGTTAATGATTTCCTACTTCTACATGTTTTGCTAAACTCGACATGAACTAGAATAAACTGATTGTATCACTGGCCGGACCTAACACTTGTCAAACCAGCATAACAACATACTAACAACCTTACTTAAAACTCAACTAAAAGGTAAGATATGATTTGCACGTAGGGATGAGAAAATAACCCATCACTGTAGGTACCCAACTGAATTTGAATCAATTTTATCGTGGAAAATCCAAGCAACATTATCTTTCAGTGACTTTTCCACGTACCCCGAAAAGGAGGGTAATGTATTTGGTGCGCTTTTGGTATTTTAAGTATCTACACTGAACTCACCATTATATGCATTATAACTACGTTATATATGCACTAAGTTAAACACTTTGTTCATCCATATCTCTCATACATTAGAATTCACTCTTAGACCTCAAATCTTACTCGATCTTCTCTTGATTTTATAAACAATATAACAAAGAAACTTCAATTAACATTGTAATTCTATAAAAAAAAGTTACGAATAGTTTATAAGATTGTTCGAGAACGGTACATATGGATTTTCTCCCAATTACTTATCTGTTGATTTTGGTAATGTGATATTACATACGACCTAGTTTTGCTATCCATATTCAAGGAGTGAAATACTGTACCGGAGGTTGTACCGGCAAAGTCATCGGTATGATATTTTATGCTAAAACTGTGATTCAACTGCATCATATCGCTAAATACCGTCTATTAGCCTCCAATAGAAGATTTTTCTGGTTGAACCATCGATATCCTTTTCTTTTTTTCAATGGCTTTTTAACAATTAGCTTTAGTCAAGGAGTATACGACTGGAAGCTTTGTGCTTTTGCAGACAACAACGCCGGCGAGACGGGCGAAATGCCACCGAAATCCCCGCAACCGTCAGCCCCTCAGAATTTCTACTTCTATTACGGCCACCGGAAGCCCTCTCAGAACCGCCCTGTAGTCCGAGGCGGCGTCTTTACCAATCGCAAAGCTTTGAGACTTCCCACTTCCCCCACAAAACCTCCCCAAAACCCCTTTTCCCCTTCCCACCCATTTGATCTCAGAAAATGGGACCCTCAAGACCCATCACTGTCGGCCAGGACTCCTCCATCGCAGGGCCACTCACTGGCAATTTCCCAGCGCCTTTCTCCAATCGCCCGCTTTGTACTCGACGCCTTCCGGAAGAATGGCAACCACTGGGGTCCTCCAGTGGTAGCTGAGCTCTGCAAGCTCCGTCGTCTCACGCCGGATCTTGTGGCGGAGGTTTTGAAGGTCGAGAGTAACCCTCATTCGGCGACGAAATTCTTCCACTGGGCTGGTAAGCAAAAGGGCTACCAGCACAATTTCGCTTCCTATAATGCTTTTGCTTATTGCTTGAATCGAACTAGCTTTTTTCGCGCTGCGGATCAGCTGCCCGAGTTGATGCAATCGCAAGGGAAACAGCCGAGCGAGAAGCAGTTCGAGATTTTGATTAGAATGCATTCGGATGCCAATAGGGGACTTAGGGTACACTATGTATATCAAAAGATGAAGAAATTTGGGGTGAAACCTCGTGTTTTCTTGTATAACAGGATATTGGAGGCATTGATGAAAACTGGTCATTTTGATTTGGCCTTGTCAGTTTACGAGGATTTCAGGAGTGATGGGTTGGTTGAGGAGAGTGTAACTTATATGATTCTGATTAAGGGTCTCTGCAAGGCTGGAAGAATAGTCGAGATGAAAGAGGTCTTGAGCAGAATGAGGAACGATTTGTGCAAACCAGATGTATTTGCCTATACTGCAATGGTTAGAGTATTGATTGGGGAAGGGAATTTGGAAGGATGTTTGCAGGTTTGGGATGATATGAAGGCTGATGGTGTGGAACCTGATGTTATGGCCTATGCAACGGTGGTGACTGGTTTGTCTAAAGGAGGGATGGTGCACAAGGGGTATGAATTGTTTAAAGAGATGAAGGAGAAGGGCTTTTTGATTGACCGAGGAATTTATGGTGTTTTGATTGATTCATTTGTGGTGCATGGAAAGGTTGGTGCAGCTTGTGATCTGTTGAAGGATTTGGTTGACTCGGGGTATAGGGCTGATTTGGGAATCTATAACTCGCTTATCGTAGGTCTATGTAATGTAAAACGGGTGGATAAGGCTTTTAAGCTATTCCAGGTCACAGTACAGGAGGATCTTGAACCGGATTTCAGAACAGTGAATCCCATGCTGGTTGCCTTTGCGTTGATGAAAAAGATGGATGATTTTTACAAGCTTCTGTTCCATATGGAGAGACTATCATTTCCGGTTCTCGATGATCTATCCAAATTCTTCTCGTTTATGGTTGAGAAAGAAGAAAGAACAATGTTGACCTTGGAAGTTTTCCAGGATCTAAAGGCTAGAGGATATATTAGTGTTCAAATCTACAATGTCCTTATGGAGGCCCTTCTGAAGGTTGGGGAGATAAAGCAGGCATTATCACTATTTGGTGAACTGGAGGATATGAACTTTGAACCGGATTCAAACTGTTACAGCATTGCAATTTCGTGTTTGGTCGAAGATGACAAGATCCAGGAAGCCTGTGACTGTCACAATAAAATAATTGAGATGTCTTCTGTACCTACTGTTACTGCATATAGTTCTCTAGCTAAAGGGCTATGTAGCATTGGAGAGATTGATCCAGCTATGATGTTAGTTCGTGATTGTCTTGGGAATGTCAGTAATGGACCATTGGACTTTAAGTACAGTCTCGCGATTCTTCACGCATGTAGATCATCTGGCAAAGTAGGAAGAGTGATTGAAGTCGTAAATGAAATAATGGAGGAGGGTTTCCCTCCCAATGAAGTTATATGCTCGGCAATTATCTCTGGTATGTGCAAGCATGGTACATTGGAAGAGGCAAGAAAGGTGTTTACAAGCTTACGAGAGCGCAGGATTCTAACAGAAGCGAAAGTAATTGTCTATGATGAAATTCTAATTGATCATATGAAAAAGAAGGCAGCAGACTTGGTGCTGTCGGGTTTGAAGTTTTTCGGTTTGGAGTCCAAGCTGAAGGCAAAAGGGAGTACGCTTCTATCTAGTTGAGCAGGCAGGTGATCTTGTCCTTCCTTCATTGGACTGGTCTGACGCATATATAATCTAGACAAATGACTGTTGAAGGTGTAGTTGGATTGACTATACATTCTTGAATGTTGGCTATGTATGTGAAACAGGATGTTGATCTTATTGATGTACATATGTAAGATCTTGAAGAATGCTAACACCCCATCGTTACTGCTCTGGCACATTGTAACGATCTTGCTAGCATCTGTGTGATTTGTCAACAGCTGTGATCCCTTCGTCAATTGCCTCTACGATATTGTGCAATGTAAGTAGTTAAAAATTTGTCCTTAACTTGTTTCATAATTAGGGATCATTTGGATGTTTGATTTGAAAAGTGATGGATTGTATCAACTCCATGGACTTGAGTGATGCATTGTGTAATGCCTGTCAGTGTGATAGAAACCCAATTTTCGGTATCTATCATAATTATCATAATTACTATTTATTAGGATATTATCATATATGGTTAGTAGTCATCGAGTCGTAATAGGATAGTTTATTAGGTTTTTCCAATCTTTAGCTATAAATATGTATTTTGAATCTTTTGTTCAATTAAGCATCAGTTAAAAAATTATCTTCCAAACCCTAAGCTCTCTCTATCCCCTAATTTCTCTTCTCGCCTAGTCCAAGACTTCGGCCGATTCTTTATTCTGTTCTTCCTCTCTTAATTCCAATCTCAATCCCTAATTATGTTCGTATAAACCCTAATTCCCAAATATCAAACCCAATAGAAACCCTGTTTCTATCACAGTGTGTCCTGTTAGCATGAAATCTACATCCTTTGGCAGGACTGATATGAACCAGACAACTATTAAAAGCAATTTTCGGTCGATCAACTGTGTTATCGGTTACATGATAGCAACTGATTATTGTTCAATGATAGCAATCCGGCTTCCTTTCAAACGACTGACAGAGCCTGCCCTCTAATTTCTGCAGTAACATGGCAAGCTGTTGCCCGAGGAGCAAGAAGCTGTCCGACACCAACAAATTGGGGTGTGTAACAGTTTGTCAAGAGGTCTTACAGCTTCTAGCAATGTATACATTATAGCTACCTGTAATATATAGAAGGATGGGTTGTTCTACAACTGTAACAGCAGCCGAACTACATTATTACAATAAATGTGCTGCTAGTAGCGGTTGTTCAAATGCGTTGCTGTGATTTGAAAATAAAGATCAAACTCATACAGAGAGACAGCTCAATCTCAAAATGGCCGCCACAACTCAGCTCAGACCTCGCGTTTTGGCCGGTTGCGAGTGCGAGTTCGACTGCTGCCACCAAAGGCAGGGACAGGCAGCTGCAATTCCTCCTGCCCTGTAGCAATGTCAGCCCCATCAACATCTTCATCTTCATTATCTTCTTCGTATTCAATGCCTTGTGCTTCCATGATGGCCTGATTGAGTTCGAGCTGCCCAGATAACACCACCCACCCGGAAACCTCAATTAGCTCGAACGAACGAACGAACGAAAGAAATCTCAGATGGCAAATTTCACCCGATCGTTTACCTCCTCCAAGTAGTCGCTGTCCAGCTTATCCGCAATTCGGATGGAAGTGAAGACGGTGAAGACCAGAAGACTGAGGGGTAACGCTAGAGCGAAAATGTAACTGCTGGTGCTCGGCCCTGCGCGCCTCACCACCGTCCACCCTCTCTCCGTCTTCTTCCGACGTCCACCGCCAGCCAACAGAAGTGACGGATGCTGTGCAGGAAGGTGGAGGAGCAGTGGCGGCTTGAAGGCGGCGCGTGGCCCGGACAGACGGAACGTTGGAGTGGGTAAACCCGACCGGATTTGCAGAATCGCCATGCGAAGGCCAAAGACAGCAGAATGGTGGTGCCGATTTATTTTATCCTCTCCGTTCGTTCTCGAGTCCCAAGTCCCAACCCACTTCTATTGGATCTATTCCTGGGCTGGATCGGTCACCTTATCCTTTTCTATTCTCTATTTAGGACAGGAATAAAACAAGAGTAAATGCAATTAATTATACAAAAAATTTGAAGTTATTTCAAATCTTTCTAAATATAAAATATTTAGACTACCACAAAGCGGTCGACCACTTTTCAAGTAAACAATCCACCTCTTTCCACTAAGCGGTCTACCACTTTTCAAGAAAATGGTCTACATTTTCCACTAAGTGGTCAACCACTTTCTAAGAAAACGAAATACCGGTTTCACCAAGTGGTTCATCGCTTTCAACAACCAGTCAATTCGATGAACCATTGTTAATCACACCATCATCTACAATTACAGGAGTCAAATGCTAATAAATATCTTGGTAATAGAGTTACAATTAGTACAGAGACTGGAGCATAAATGAGAAGTTTTTCGAGTGATTGTTCTCCCGTATATTTGAAATATGTTATGTACATTTATTTCTTAGATTTTTACTTGTTACTTGTTCTATAGAGATTTTCATCTTTCCTTCAAACTCTAAGTTTGCTTTTTTATTCGGGCAATGTCTATTTTTTAACCAAACCTTTTTCAGATTCTTTTATTTTAACCAAACCTATTGAATTCCTAAAAATTATCCAAACGTTAACTCTCCGTCTACTTTTCTGTTAGTAATGCTGACTAAGTATGACCATAATGAGTTGACTTCCTACGTGGCGGCCAGAATACCATCATTTACTATTTTAATAAAAAGATTATCAAAAAACAAAACAAAATCCCACCTCTCACGTGGACGAAATAAGTAACGGTAACAGAATGAATGCCCGGACTTTGATAAATTATAATACGTTTGGATAATAAATAGAATTTCTATAGGTTTGGTTAAAATAAAAGAATCTGAAAAAGGTTTGGGTAAAAAATAGACATTGCCCTTTTTATTCTATAGCTATCTTGTAATAGATAAACTTTGTTGCTATTGTTGTTATGAAGATACTAAAAGGTAGAGTATAATTGTTCTACATTAATTTCATCTTCAACATCCATAAATCTCATATCATCTTGATTTTATCGGGTTTTATTCCATAAATGTTAAAATAGGGTGTTAATCTTTTTGTCTAGGTCTATAATATGCGTAGAGATTTGGTTGCGCACGAGTGATATGATGTTCCATTACTACAAAACGATTATGCATTGTACGCTTCCTATTGTCCATTATTTTCCTAATGTAAGTAGAAGGTAACTATATCATCTGGTTAACCATTCGCCGGAAGCAGTAGATCGTTTGCCGGAATCGATAGACCGTTTAGTGGAAGCAATCTACCATTTCCAACAAACAGGTTTCAGTTGAAAGTAAGTGTCATCAGGTCGACCATTTGATGAAAGCGGTAGACCATTTTCTTGGAAATTGGTTAACTGCTTACTGGAAGAGGTAGACCATTTTCTCCAAGTTACAATGACTTGTAACTAACCATAGGCATACCCTAAAGTATTAGTCAAACATTAACTTTCCACTAGAATTTTTGTAAGTAATGATGACTTGGCAACACGATGTTGAGTTTAAAGAAAAGAGTTACAAAGTTATTAACGATAACATACAAATGACAAATATTTTGATGCGTTACGAATATTTGGCTAATACTTTTTACGATTATTGTAATAATATCTCCTTATACTATGGAGTTTAATGAAACATGACTCTCTGCTATTTTTTACATCAAACATATCCCTACATTTTAGAAAGATACTTGCCCTTCTGTTCAAATTTTTATTCAAAAATCATCACCCATGATCAAATCGTGGTTCAGACGACCTAACCTCGGTAAAATGGGAAAGAAAGTGTAAGTTTGCCCCTCCAATTACTTCTTTAAATTTCATTAGAGTGATATTTTTAGGAGTATTGAGCTATACAAAAGAAACAAATAACGTTTAAGTGAAAATATTGTGGTATTTTAGATACTTGTGTCCCCTAAACCATGGTTCGACAATGGTTGACGATTTTTTACGAAAATTTTAACAGAAAAACATGATTGATCATTTTTATGATGTACAAGGGTATGTTTGATGTAGAAAATAGTAGATGAGCATGTTTGATGAAACTATATAATAGATGGGCATATTTATAATATAACTCTTCTTTGTATTTCGAAAGGTTTGACTAATAATTTGAAAGGTTTGGATAATAAACCGTATTTACACATAAAGAAAAATTTTAATCAAACCTTTCAAAAAGTATATAATATAAGAGGCTGTTAACTTTCCATCCAATCCAATCAAACGTTAGTTGACTCTAATGTGATAAATGATAAGAATGTGATGCATACATGAATGTTGAGTTTGACATTTCAACCCGCGCAAAACTAAAACAATTTAAAAGAAATTTTTTTATTTTGTGCAAAATAATAGCCAAACCTTTTGAAATACAATTTAGTTGTCATTTATTGTTAAATCTAATGAGAAACCTTCTAAACTAAACAAATGGTATTTTAATTAAGGGTAATGTCTATTTATTAATTTTTCCTCCCTTAATCTTTATCAGACGTCTCACTCATTTTAAGTCGAAATTAATTTTTTTTTTCACAGTTAGATCAGATTAATTGTGCTCTTCAAAATAATATTCACTGTGATATTTTTTGGAACAAAAAAATTTGAGCCAGCTATTACAAGTCTATACCATATGGTATTGACTAGTATTAAATAAGAGCATACCATATGGTATGAAAAATACCACCCCATGTCAGGGTGGTATAGTATGGTATGAAGTTGGTAACGAGAGGTATGGAATTTTGTCACCCAGAAATTTTTGAAATTCAATAGATCATTTTGTAGAGTACAACGAACTCGTTCCATCCGTGCAAAAAAAAAATCCAAATGAAGAAGATATTATCCAATCAAGAAAAATAGGGGGAAAATGTCTTTAATTTAGAACCCTTAGATCTGCAGCCACTTAAAAGAAGGGTCCAGATTTGGTTACTCATAGTTATGCACCCTAAGGTTATGCACCCTATCTTGAGCCAAGAATTAGCCAAATGTTAACTTTCAATTAGCAACAAAATTTTAGTATTTTAATTAAGTAAAGAGTTACAAAATTATTAACGATAACGTAAAATGTCAAATATTTTGATGCATTACGAAAGATTTGGCTAATTAATAATATTTGAATAGATTTGGATAATAAAAAATAATCTGAAAAAGGTTTAGATGACAAAGACATTACCCTTCAATTAATATGTGCTGAGGTTGTAAGTAATCTAGATCTAGGTATGATTTCGTTAACTTTGACACTAACTTTAACTCTATGAAGACGTTAATAAATTTTGGGCTAATTTCACTAGAAAGTCTAAACTATCCAAAACATGTCATTTGTGTACTAAACTATTCAATATGACAAATATGGAACAAACTATATGGGTTTCGTGTCATTTATGTCATAAACTATTCAATTATGACAAATCTGGCCCACACCACATAGAAGTTGACTAGATTTTTTGTTAAATACTAACGGTCAACGCCGGTCCACATTAATGAAAAAATAGTTTGTGCCAGATTTGTCATATTGAATAGTTTAGGAAACAAATGACACTTTTTTAATAGTTTGCGCATCCTAGTGGAATTAGCCCATAAATTTTTAGCGTTTTTTTTTACAAAAGATAATCATATACTGATTTGCGATAATAGATAAGTACAATGAAAGGGCCTTTCGAGCCACCAATTGGGCTATTCTATTACTCGCCGACCTACAAATCGCACACTAAGCCCCACATGACATCTGAAAATCGCAGAACCTCCTCGAGGATAACTCCACCCCGACTATCCCAGGAGTCTTCTTGGTTAATCTTATCAATGATGACCTTGACGTATGATAAATTTTTAGCATATGATAAAGGTATTTAAGACGAACTATTGTATCAAAAATAGGAGTTTACAAGTTTTTGTTGGTCCACTCAATCTTTTAGCAGAAATGTCAAATCACTGCTTGCAACCCTCAACACCTGACTAAATTTTTTCTTTTTACTCTATGTCAAGGGGGTGAGAAACTGCCACAACCCCGTAAGATGTCGTCACAACCCACTTTATAGCCATTGAATACATTCTCTCTCCTGTCTCTTTCTTCTTCTTTTTTAAATCGATGGTTAAGATTACACGAAGGGTATTTTTAGAATGGAAAAAACTAACCACATAGGATTACTACCACTATTAATTTTCATATGCTTTTCCCTTTCCCTAAAAACCCTAATCAGATCCACCCTCTCTCTGCCACCACTAATTCTTCCTCCTTCTTCATCCCATCCGCCCCTATCATCGTGCCACCACTATCACAGCCTCTCCCTGTCACAGCCCTCTTGCCGCCCTCCGCCCTCCGCCGCTGCCACCGCCTCCCACCAACATCACAAATGTTGCCTCTGTCTCCCCCTTCCCTCCTTCCTCCGCCTCCCACCACCTCCTGTCTTCACGCCGCCGCCGCGAGGTGAGCGCCTCTCCCCTATTTTTTTCTTCAGATATGAGTTTTTTCAGATTCCTGATCTGGTTTTTTTTTGCCTTAGTCTCTAGTGATATGCTACCAGGGCTAGTGGTATGCTACCAGTGCAAGTGGTAGCGCTACCAATGAGTACTGGTAGTGTATCACTACCAGGTACCGGATGGTAGATTGGTAGTGGTACCAAATGATAGTTGTACGCTACCGCAACCAACTATCAGATGGTAGTGATAGTGTTGTAACAGTAGTGGTAGTGGTAGCGTACAACTAGCGTACTGACGGAGTGGTAATTTTTGCAGGTGGCCGAAGCAATTCTGATTAAAAGGATTTCGCTGGAAAGTTTGTTGGGCTGAAAGTTGGCCGGTTGGAGTGGAGTGGCTGCTGGAAAAGGAAGAGAGAAATGCATTTATTGTAGGATTTAAATTTTTTAAAAAGCATGTATTTAACATTAGTTTTTAATTCCCAAATTGTAATTAATATATATATATTAATTAATAAATTCATTTCTTT